CATTAATGAATAAAATAAAAAGTTTTGGGCCCAATTATGGAACCTTGAGGAATCCCAGATATGATTGTTTTACAGTCAGAGTTACTGCCATTTATTTGAACATATTGCTGTCTGTTAGTTAGATAGCTTTCCAGCCATTTATGGATCTGGCCTCTTATGCCATAATTATTTAGTTTTGTTAACAATAGTTTATGATCCACCGTGTCAAAATCTTTCTGTAAATCTAAAAATATACTAACCAAGTATTGCTTTTTGTCAATAGCTGCCAATATTTCATCTGTTAGATGAATGAGTGCAAGAGAAGTTGATCTGTTTGATCTGAATCCGTACTGGTGTGCAAAAAGTAAATTATTTCTCTCTAAAAATGCATCAAATTTCTGTGTGAACCATTTTTCTATGATTTTGGAAAACTGAGATAATAATGACACTGGTCTGTAGTTATCTAATAAATGATTATTGCCATCTTTAAATAAGGGTATTATTTTAGCAGTTTTCATTTTCTGAGGGAAAATGCCAGTGCTGAAAGAAAGGTTGAAGATGTAGGTCAGAGGAGTGAGGACACAGTCGATGGTCTTCTTTACTATGATCATGTCCAGGCCGTCACAATCCACTGAGGTCTTATTCTTGCATTTTTTAACAATGTTAAAGATGTCATTTTCTGTTATTGCATTGAGGTACATTGAGTGTAGAATTCTACTCCCTCCACTCTCTGACCTGCAGTTGGTAATAACTTGCTTGGGATTGTCTGAACTGCTTGCAATATTGGCTCCCACATTTACAAAGAAGGAATTAAACTCATTAGCTGCATCAATATCATTGTTTATGTGTTTATCATTATGTATAAAGTATTCTGGTAGTTTCTTTGGGGCGGCACGGTGGGGCGGCACGGTGGCTGAGTGGATAGCACTCTCGCCTCTCAGCAAAAAGGTCCTTGGTTCGAATCCCGGCCGGACAAGGGCCTTTCTGAGTGGAGTTTGCATGTTCTCCCCGTGTCTGCGTAGGTTTCCTCCGGGTACTCCGGTTTCCCCTACCACTAAAAATATATCCAATAGGTCTGGCATGCGCCTCCTGTTCGGCGACCCCGCTCCCATCTCTGTGTGGAGTGAGAGGACAAGTGCCCAAAAAATAACAATTGTAAACCGCTTTGTGACTCTGGTCTGTGAAAGGCGGTATATAAATAAAGCTTACTTACTTACTTACTTCTTTGATTGGGCATTTGGCCGCATTACTTTATTCAAAATTTTCGAGGTTTCTTTTATATTATTCTTATTCTCTTCCAATTTGTTTTTGTAATAGTCTTTTTTAGCCCAACGCAGTATGATTGTTAATTTGTTTTTATACGCTTTATATTTATTATCAAGAATTTGAGTTCTGTATTTCAGAAAGTCTCTATACATTTTGTTTTTCTTTTGACATGACCTCTGTAGCCCCGGGGTTATCCATGGTTTATTCTCAAATGCAGTTCTATTTTTGCATAACTTTAGTGGACAGTTTTTATTATAGAGTGTTATAAAAATGTTTAAAAATTCTTGGTAGGCCTCATTCACATCTGGCACATACACTCCTCCCCAATCTTGGATACACAGGTCATTTCTAAATGAGTTTAATTCCTCCTCTGTTCTTCTTCGTATGTATTTAGGTTTCACAGAAACACTTTTATTCTGTTTAGTAGTTTTTAGTCCACAAACAATAAAAATGGGCAAGTGGTCACTGAGGTCCGTTACAAGTATACCGCTAAGAAGGACGCTATCAATGTCACTAAAAAAAATATTATCAATTAGAGTGGCAGCCGTGCATGTGACTCTGGTGGGTTGGGTTATTACTGGAAATAGACATCGACTGTGCATTTCGTTGATGAAGTCTTCTGTGGTTGTACTTTGATGTGGATTTAGAAAATCAATGTTAAAATCACCACATATCAGCTTTGTTTTGTTTGTTGCATTAAAGTCACATAATTCAGAAAACTTCTCTTTAAATTCCTCAATTTTAGAGCCTTGTGCTCTGTAGACACAGACTATAGTAATATTTTCTTTCTTTTCTAATTCTATTTTCACTGCTATGCATTCCATTAGGCCTTCAATCGCAACAGACAAACGTTCCAATATTTTACATTTGAGTGACTGATCAATGCACAATGCGACACCGCCACCTCTTTTCCCTGGTCTATCAACGTGATAAAAATTATAACCATTTATTCCTATATCCACTCCCCTTTCCGTGTTTAACCATGTCTCAGAAAAGGCAATGACATTAAACTGAGTTTCCAGCGTATTCATATACTCGTCAATTTTATTTATGTTTGCATATAAGCTTCTACAATTGAAGTGTACCAAAGAAAATGAGCTCCCCGTTTCTGGGTTTAACTTAAGATCGTCTTTACTGTAATAATTACAGGAAAAAGAACTAAAATCAAATATATTCCAATCCGGATCAAAGTCCGCTTCAAAGTTGTGTATTTTAGTGGAAAGTGAATTGTCGTTTGATCCCAGAGTTGGATATCTTAATTGTTCAGTCATCATTAATCACTAACGAAAATATCTCCAACCACCCAGCGCTGCAGCACAAACTTCTGGTCTCTCTCTGGTCTCTCTCTAGTCTCTCTCTGGTCTCTCTCTCTGGTCCCTCTCTGGTCTCTCTCTGGTCTCTCTCTGGTCTCTCTCTGGTGTCTCTCTGGTCTCTCTCCGGTCTCTCTCTGGTCTCTCTCTCTGGTCTCTCTCTGGTCTCTCTCTGGTCGCTCTCCGGTCTCCCACTAGTCCCTCTAGTCTCTCTCTAGTCTCTCTCTGGTCTCTCTCTGGTCTCTCTCTGGTCTCTCTCCGGTCTCCCTCTAGTCCCTCTAGTCTCTCTCTAGTCTCTCTCTGGTCTCTCTCTCTGGGCTCTCTCCGGTCTCTCTCTGGTCTCTCTCTCTAGTCTCTCTCTGGTCTCTCTCTGGTCTCTCTCTGGTCCCTCTCTCTGGTCTCTCTCTGGTCTCTCTCTGGTAGTATGTTGTAAGTAGTTAGTAGTGTAATCTTTACGTTTTATACCGCCTGTTTCACTGCCACATCGGGCGTCTCAAAAGCGTGTTTACTAATTGGGATTTTTTTTGGGACGTCGGGTGTGCGGTGCCAGTACAGGAGGCTCATGCCAGACCTATTGTACATATTTTTAGTGGTTGGGGAACCGGAGCACCTCCGGAGCACCGGAGGAAACCTACGCAGACACGGGGAGAACATGCAAACTCCACTCAGAAAGGCCCTGGTCCAACCGGGATTCGAACCCAGGACCTTCTTGCTGAGAGGCGAGAGTGCTATCCTCTCAGCCACTGGATAAATTATTTAAATGTCTGTAACAGGGATAAAGCTGCTAAATGTCACATTGCTTCCGCTTGATTTTAACTTAGCAGAGACTGTTGACAAGACCAGGATTAGGGTGAATGCAGCCTACTCATAAAACACTGCGAAAGTTATGCTGTGAGGAGAAAACTGGAGGTCCTGAGTTGGCCCTCTTATTGAATCATAAAAACATGATGTATCTGATGTATAAACTGTCTGTGCATGAATGAGGAGCCGGCCGCTTCACGGGCAGCACAGGGAGCAGCTGGGATAGGGATCGGAAGGTCTTCCTGCGGCCCCGGATGTCGCCTAGGGACCAGGACCTGCTCATGCTCAATGCGTCCATGACCACTACTGAGCTTGTCTCAACGACTGCCTGCATTTATCCTACAGCTGCAGCTGCTGGCCGGCAGAGGGGCACGCATTGGCAGGTTACCACTGCTCTACACTGTGGTGTTGGATTTCACTTTCTTTTTCCTCTTCACTACTTAATTTGCTTCTGAGGTACAACGTTTTACCTCACTTTTCAGAGCAGTTTTTGTGGGAATATTGATACTTTGTGGACAATAGTATCCGAAGCCAGGACAAATAATGTTTTTGAGGTGTGGAATTATCACTTTTGCGAATATTATTGCCTACAAAATATATATTGCCCACCATGTGCAATCAGGCTTTTTGTCTCGATTGGCCTCATAATAATGATAAATAATTCTACTGGTTTCTTATCGCGCCGTTTTGGACACTCAGACGCTTCACTATGTCATATTCATTCACTCCATCAGCCACAGCTGCCTGGGGCACACAGACAGAGCGAGGCAACCAGTATGTTTCCAATGGCCCCTCCGATCCTTACCAACACATTCACACACACACCAGATCATCTAGGCATTGAGGGTAGAAGTGTCTTGCGTAAGCCCCAATCATAACGCAGTTTGGCACTTTTACAGTCGCAGCGCCACCGCCACCTGTGTTCCCAGAGGTCCAATGTGTCTTGCCCAAGGACACTCAAGGTACCTTCAGGGCTCTCAAATTCTACCAACTGAGCTACTGTGGCTCTAGGACCATTTTTTGTCATTAGGGCAGCATTTCAAGGGCTCGTGCTACTATTAATTGAATAAAGCCGGTCCAAAACATGTGTACCTAAATCTATTGGTATATGCTCTGGCGTTGGACACGTCTCTTTGGTCCCCATCTCCCCGGCAGTGCTGGACAGTGGAATTATGTTGAATTATTGTGTTGGGCCTGTACCTTTTTCTACCCGTCTTCTTACAGTAATTTGATCTGGGTTGTTACTATGTGCTGTTAATCTATTGTTGTTTGTAGCTTACAGGATTGGCTACAGCCCGAGCACAGACCGGGTCAGGAGGTGTAAGATGCTGCTACTTAGGAGGATTTTTGATGATTTGTCATGTGAAAGCCCTGATAAAGTCTCGGCCCGACTTTTGTGCACGATCTGGTTACGCCAGTATTTTTCATTAAGTCCGACCTCTGCGCACACCGGCCAATCAGATCACTGCACCCGAGGTGGATTGAATGAAGCTTCCCCGCCTTTCAAACATGTCATTAAAGATCCCCAATCGTTAGCACCACATCTCGGGGTGTTTGTGGGAAACAGTCTGGTAGGATTATAGATTTGGCCCCTGGAGCCTTGTGTGGTTGTGCCGTGTGTTTGGGTGTGTGTTGTACACGGGCCTAGATGGGAGGGGCCCGGCACACATGAGCGTCTCTGCACGTTGCTTCCATCGCAGGGTCCGACCATCGAGTGGCTGGTGCCCAAACTTGCCCGAGCTGTGTGAAGAACGGAGGAGGCTTTACCCAAGGAGAGGGCCCACTGGAGGGCCCAGGCTTAGAGTCGAGCACGCCAGACTCCAGCTGCTTCACAGGTTTGACAAACAAACTCAGATATGGTCCAGACAGGTTGTACTGTGCAAAAAGCACATACAGTTGTTTGGCTGTGAAGGATTTAGGCAAATGAACTTTCTCGTGTCCAGGGCTGACTCGGAATCTGAAATGCATTGGTAGAAAGTGATCATTTATACTATGTCGTAGTGGTGTCCACTCACTCCATCCTTTCAGAGTCTGTGTGTTGGGACAATAATTTCGTAACTGGGGAACTAACCAACTGTGGAAACCATTCCCCTTCTGGAAATGATTTTTAAGCCCCATCACTCGATATAAGAAGGACATCGCCTCATAAAGAATCTCTTATCCTCACTATTTCCAGGGAATTCTTCCACACTTTATTTTCACCTGTGTTAATACTAACTGGCACTGCCACGTTTGCAACATCCTACATTTTTATAAGTTTGAGAGTATATTGTCTTTATGAGTATACATAGTTGTTGGCACTTTTATTTATGGCATAGCATTTCTAGTTTGAAAAGTTTACTATCACACCGAGCCCTACAATAATTGATTTCATAATTCAATCAAACCAACTCAAACCTGTCACAAGACTTCAAGTTCAAGAAACGGAACAATGACAAGATCGATGGATGTTTTTTCTGTGGGATATCATTTGTTGTGGTAGAGCTGATTTAGATCTGGCCTCGAGTCTGTTTGTGGGTCACCCATGAAAGAGGCTCCGGGTTTCTGTCTGCTGTTTCCGAGGACTGGCAGCTGTGGACGCCACGCAAACGTCAAAGGCAACACCAGAGTGGGACATGTGCATTTACATACGGATCCACTGGATTTCAAACTCCCTTTCACCCAGGGTCTGTCACATGCTGATACTGCGGCTTTAGGACCGTATTCAGATGATGTTTTCTAAATGGGGCACTGCTGGATAGTGGTGGCCTCAGTTCATCGTTGAACTCACCATTTAAGATCCCATTTATCAGATGATCTGGTACAAAAAAATACTTGGATTCTACTCAGGGGCTTATTGTCTGCTCGGACCACAACAATTATGTCTTACTTAATGTTTTATGGTTTATTATTCATTTTGTCAGAATAGGTATATAATACGTAACCGATGGAATTGGAGAAGTCTTCCAAAAGTCACACTAGTGGACAACATGGATGTACTTAGGCACGAATCATAAAAAATGGGATTTATTATGGGACATTTCTAATAAGTGTTGAGTGAGCCAGCCTGTTTATGGTGCAGTGTTGCCTGGCTGCGAGGTCCCTGGTTTGAGTAAAGACATGTGAATCTGTTGGTACATTCCATGGCATAGCTAGAAACTCCTCCATGGAAAAAAAAAAAGAAGTCTCACGCCCTGTTAACATTAGCCCTCGCTTCGTGTGCGGAATTCTCAACCTTAATTTCCCAGTCAGCTTGCTTACATGATTAGCTTGGCACCGCCAAGCCGGGCCGTGTGCGCCGTGAGGGTGATTGCAAGGGAAACTCAGTGGATTGTATCACAAGTTAAACATCAAGACTGCAGGTGGCCTTTAATTCCTGTCTGACACTCAGGAATTGAGAGTACTGACACAACTTATTTAGCCATGTCGGTTCTCAGTGGATTTCTGATTTTGTCTTTGTACATTGGATTGAAGGTTAAATATTGTTGTTATAACCTTGTAACTGTGAGGGCATCCTAATGAGATGTTGTGGTGCGATGAATGGAACTGTCGTGTGGATCTGTGCTCAGGAGAGAGGAGGAGATGGACCCCGTGGATGAGGTGGAGGGTCTCGTTCTCTGACACCTGAGGAGGACCTGGGGGCTGTGGAGGAGGTGCGCAGCTTCTTCCGGCACCTGCGCTCTGTCCCAACTGATGCTTGGGCTTGGACCTTCACCCGGGGGTAAGTGAGTCCATAGCTATGACTGAGCCAAAGAGCCTTCTGTAGCTGCTTATACCTAACTTTTTTGTTTCATGAATCGATACAGATTTTTTGTCACTGTTTAGTTGTTGAAACAATCGGACCACAGCTTGTATTTCAAGGGAAAACGTTGCTCTTTGTGCCTCTTTGTGTATACTAAGATGAAACCCAATTTGACGCTTTGGGTTGAGCTGCTGCTCATGGGCAAAGTGATGGTGTTTCTGATAAAAGAACTATAGAAGGATGGAACTAAACTGTTTTTAAGTTATTTGTTGATTTTACTGAAACATATTTGGTGATTTTACTGACTCTGTCCTATGGGACAGAGGTCTGTCCATAGGACAACAATCAGTTGTGCACTGCACAAATCTGGCCTTTATGGAAGAGTGGCCTATTTCTCAAAGATATCCAATAAATAAGTCTCTTAAAGTTTGCCACAAGCCACTGGGAGTCACCAAACATGTGGAAGAAGGTGCTCTGGTCAGATGAAACCAAAGATCAAACTTTTTGGCCACAATGCAAAACGATATGTTTGACGTAAAGCAACACAGCTCATCACCTCTGAACTCACCATCCCACCACCTCAGCTGTAGTTATCTGCAGTTCATCCAGAGTGATGATGGGCCCTCTTGGCTGCATCTCTGATCAGTCTTCTCCTTGTTTGAGATGTAGAAGTTTGGTGGAGGGACGGCCGGGTCTTGGTAGATTTGCAGTGGTCTGATACTCCTTCCATTTCAATATAATTGCTTGCACAGTGCTCCTTGAGATGTTTAAAGCTTGGGAAACCTTTTTGTATCCAAATCCGGCTTTTAAACTTCTCCACAACAGTATCTCGGACCTGCCTGGTGTGTTCCTTTGTCTTCATGGTTCTCTCTGCGCTTTAAACAGAACCCTGAGACTATCAAAGAGCAGGTGCATTTATACGGAGACTTGATTAGACACTGGTGCATTCTATTTATCATCATCAGTCATTTAGGACAACATTGGATCATTCAAAGATCCTCACTGAACTTCTGGGACTGAGTTTGCTGCACTGAAAGTATAGGGGCCGAATAATATTGCACGCCCCACTTTTCAGTTTTTTATTTGTTAAAAAAGTTTAATTATTATCTCAACAAATTTCATTCCACTTGACGATTTCTTGTTGTTGATTCATGACAAAAAATTATTTTATATCTTTATTTTGAAGCCTGAAATTACATGCAACTAGGCCCTGTTTGCTGGGATGTACGGAACGATTGTTTGCTGAGACATACCACCCCCCCCAAATTGAATTTTGAAGATTGTTGTCTGTTGAATTTTGACGCTTCATGTTGGTGAAGAGATTTATTAAAATGGTGTATGAGTTTCATTTGCTTGAAAAATAAATTTGGATGGCTGCATGATGGGACCTTAGAGCATAGTCCTCAGCAGGAAATATTGTGTGAGTCGTACTCTTTTCTCTTATTCTTTATTCTTTACATGTGTTTATCGGATCAAAATATACAGTTCACATGTCAGAATAGGAGCATGTTGAAGACCGAGTCTTATTGTTCATGCCCCTAAAGCAAAAAATAAAAAAAAATAACACTTATTTTGATGATGATGAGCGCCTCAAAAAAATAAATAAAAATACAATCTACACACATTATGCTTATATACAATATACACACATTTAGTTTCCTCACAGTATAATTACTATTGTTATTATTCTCTTTTTTTTTTTTTTTCTAAATTGTTTTTTGAAATATGTATTGGTCAATGATTAACACACATTTTACTTTATTTTAACCTCCAATTCCAAATATTTTGTACATGCATATACACACACACACAAATATGCACACATCAAAGTATGTACGCATACACACACCCACACACAGGCATGCACATATCAAAGTATGTACACATACACACACACAGGCATGCACATATCAAAGTATGTACACATACACACACACAGGCATGCACATATACAAAGTATGTACACATACACACACACAGGCATGCACATATCAAAGTATGTACGCATACACACACACAGGCATGCACATATCAAAGTATGTACACATACACACACACAGGCATGCACATATCAAAGTATGTACACGTACACACACACACACACACGCACACAGGCATGCACATATCAAAGTATGTACACATATGCACATAAATCTACATACAAATACATTCATAACCATACATATTCATCTACACATATCTATATTTGTCCATTAAGTATAAAGTATACATGCGTTTCATTTGGTCTATGGTGTGATGTGATTGAAGATCGTTGCCCAAACTGTTCCAGAGCCTGATTCCAGAAACAACAAAGCCTCTTTGTTTTGGTGACGTGCGGGTAAATGGTACACAAAAGTTTCCTTTCCTCCTGCTGTCTTCAGTGATTAAAATGAATTTCCTGTAAATGTGCTCAGGAACCAATTGATTTCTGATTTTCCACATGGCTAATATAGTTTTTAACTGAAAAAGATCTGAAAATTTTAAGGTGTTATGTTTAATGAAAAGATCATTGGTGTGGTCTCTTGGACCTTTGTGATTAATGATTCTTATTGCTTTCTTTTGGAGCAGGAAAACTTGATTTGTGAAACTTTTGCAAGCATTGCCCCAGACCTCAGCACAATACAGAAAATATGGCACAATTATAGATGTATAAATCCTGAACAATGCTTTCTCATCAAATATATGTTTAACCTTATATAAAATACCAATGGATTTACTAATTTTATTATTTATATAGTTAATGTGAATTTTCCAATTAAGTTTATTGTCTAACTTGACACCCAAAAATTTTATTTCTGAAACATTTTCAATAGTTGTATTTCCGATAATAATTTCTTTCTGTTCTGAATGTTTTCTAGTTCCAAAAATCATACATTTAGTTTTTTCCAATTTAGATATAAATAATTGCTATCAAACCATGTTTTTAGTTGTGTCATTTCAACTTCCATGTCTGTTATTAATGCGTCTAAATCATTTCCAGCTTTGCAAACGGTGGTGTCATCTGCAAATAAAAGAAAGTCCATGTTTTTGGTAATTTCATGAATATCATTAATGAATAAAATAAAAAAGTTTTGGGCCAATTATGGAACCTTGAGGAATCCCAGATATGATTGTTTTACAGTCAGAGTTACTGCCATTTATTTGAACATATTGCTGTCTGTTAGTTAGATAGCTTTCCAGCCATTTATGGATCTGGCCTCTTATGCCATAATTATTTAGTTTTGTTAACAATAGTTTATGATCCACC